TGCATGCACTGAAAATGTGTACTAATAAAATTTTTAAACACATGATATAGAAATGGAAAGGAAAATAGCCACATGCAGGAGGGGCTAAGGCAAGGGGCATTGTCACTTTACAACAGTGTGCTGTGAACTAATCAACATGGGAGACCTAATCCACTCCCATGAGGCAGCATGCACCCATTTATCAGATGGGGCCCTCATGACCCTGGTGTCTTCCACTAGGTTCCATCTCTTAATGGTTGTGCCACCTCCATGCCTGCACACTGGGGCCAAGCTTCTTGTCCATGAAACTCTGGCAGGCAAACTATAGCCAAATCATAGCAATGCAGAAAGTGATTGTGACAGAAAACATGAGATGTCCCCAAGGAAGTGACACCAGCCAAAGACCTCATGTTAAAAGAACTCTTGAAGTTATTTCATGCCACTGAATGCACAATGAATAAAATTTTGGAAGCTAATCTAAGCTTAGAGCATGACAATTCACCAAAGCATAAAAAAAAAATGTTCATTTGTATTGTGTTATACTATAGAAGAAGAAAGCAAATGTTGTTCAAACTATTTTGGTAAGTTTTTAACTAAGAAATAAAATTCTAATTCTCAATGTTTGAAATTACAATATGCTAGCACTTCATTGTTTTATTGTGTTTTATTGTGTGTCTTCATTCCTCTATATATTAGTTTAACTGACAGAAAAAATGTTAACATTGATAATTTTTTTTGTTTTTGAGTTAGGGTTTCACTATGTAGATGATGCTCACCTTGAACTCACTATGTAGTCCAGGCTGGCCTTGAACTCCTGGCAGTGCTGCCTCAGCCTCCCAAGTATTGGGATTACAGGTGTGTACCATCATACCTGGCTTTGACCAAGTTTTTAATGGTCATTTTTCCCTCTGATTATTAACATAGTTTTGTATGGTTTCAGCTTTTCACAGCAATTTTCATGGTCCCACAATCCATGCAAAATGAGTACTGTATATTCATATATTTTACAACAGCTGGACTGGGGATTTAGCTCAGTGGCACAGCACCTGCCTGGCAAGCATGAGGTCATGAGTTCAATTCCCAGTACTGAAAAAAAAAAAGCCAATACAACAGCTATTACTATGACAATACTCAGATAAGGAAGTTGAGGCTTTAGAAGGTATAAACTACTTGTTCAAGATTACACATTTAGTAAATAGAAGAGCTCATATCTGAACCTGTGCAGCCTGACTCTGAGACTGATATCCCTCCCCATGTGCCATACTGTTTTCCATACAAGGTCATAAGCAAGTCTAAGATGGAGACTGTATCTTGTTATCTTTATATGCCTAGCAAGTGCATACTAGTTGATAAATGCATTATATTAGTACTTTTTGTGTTATAATAAAAATACCTGACATTGGATAACATTAAATAAAGAGGTTTATTTGGCTCATGATTCAAATGATTAGAAAGTCCAAACATATGGTACCAACATTCTGGAAACACCCCTCCAACACCCACAGCTGCATCATAAAGTAGCTGAAAAGTGGAAAGGAAAAGGGCAAGGAAGTGGGGTGGTTGTACTTTATAATAACCTGCTCTCTTGAGAACCAAGTAGTCCTGTGAAATCTACATTATTTCCTTCCAAAGACAGAGCTTTCCCGGTTAAATCACCTCCCATCAAGCTCTACTTCGTAAAGGTTTCACCAACACTCCCATACTGAGACCAAGTTTCCAGCACATAAACATTTGGGGGCCATGCCCCATCCAAACTATAGCAGTATGTTGAGTGAATTTTTTGAAAACACCAAATAACATAAAGGAAGATACAGGATATGAAGACCAGTCACCACTGGAAATATATAATGTGGTGCAGAGTTTTGTTCATGCTTGCTAAGAAACTTCTAGACACTGTCATTAATTATATCAGAACAAAAGTGTATATGACTATAGGAAATAAAAAATGAAAATGTCTTATTTGGTTACATTCATATAGCAATTCTACATGGGGAGTTATTCCACGAGCTCTCTCAGAGATGAAGGAGCACAAATGTTAAAGCCCCACAGAGGCATCCTTTGGTTCTCGTCCCTGAATACCACTTGAGATTGTGCTGTCTGAGAAAGTCAGGAAAGCTTCTACCAAAGCCTTGATCAAAAGTCCAAACAACTAAACAATAGCAAAGCTCTGTTTGCAAAGTGCAAACTAGAAAAAAAGTCAAGAAGCTTTGCAGATGTTTAAAAATAGAGATGGGTCAGGCAGGAATATGGAGATGAGCATTCGTGGGCTGCAGAAGCGAGAACATTGTGTTTTGTTTTGTTTTGTTTTGTTCTATTCTGTTCTTTCAGCCACCACTTTTACCCAGGCAATAAAAATGAAAAAGCAAAAGAGAGAGGATAGGTAAAGAAATCAGCTTGAATAAGAGCAGGCTTAGACTGCCAGTCTTACTATATTCATGGAAGGAAGGGCAAGTTAGCTAGGAGAAAAGATTTGGGGCAGAAGAGAGAAGGCACATATGTCCTCCTGCCGGCTTCCAGGAAGGCAGTTCTTCCCAGAACAAAGGGATACCGCTGGCAACTGGACGGCATCTACAATCCAGCCTTTGAGAACATACCCTCCAACTTCACCTGAAGGTCAACCCACCAAAAGAAATAACTTTCTGAATACGAGTCTGAGATGACTTTCTTGTTGAAGAGCTCCACCATATAGAAATTCTCTAGGAACATGTTTCCTCTGCCTCTGACTCTGTCTTTGTCTCTCTTATATTTATCTCTGACTCTCTCTCTATCTGTGTATCATTTTTACTTTGAGAGCAGAGAGTCAAAAAGGGTACGAGTTGGTACACTTTGGGGTTCAGAGTGCTGAGCCTGAGTACAGAGGAGTGAAAATGTACCAAATGATGCTGTGTGGTTTGGCAAATACGTAAGCAGGTCAGCAATTATTTTTTTTTTTTCCTGCTTCTTTAAATTCAGCATTTTCTGAAAACTACATCACAGAGGCCCCAGCTTATATTTGGATTTCACTCATTTCATCTAACACAGTTCAAACAGTTTAGATTTCAAGGCAGAGATCCCACCTATTGGGTAATTCTTCCATTATTCCCGTATCCAGTGTGCCTACCTCTTCCAGACCTTTATTGAAGATTAATTTTAGAGCTCTGCTTGGTCACTGACCTCAGTAATACCTGTCACTCCCACTTCCAATTTTGCTTTTCTCCTCGGTTTCTCTGCATATCAGCTCCAGATGAGATGCTCTCGCTACCCTTGGGAGGGTGATAGAGACCATGCACTGGGAAAAACTGAAGAGAAGACATTGTCCGGGGCTGGGGATTTAGCTCAGCGGCAAAGCGCCTGCCTGGCAAGCGCAAGGTTGTGAGTTCAGTTCCCGGCACCGGAGAAAAACCAAAAAAAAAAAAAAGAGAAGACATTGTCCAATGGACGTTATCATGATTATCTTTCCTTATGAAAGGGTAAACAAGTATCATTAGGATGACAAAAGGTTTTGATATGGAAAGAATTATTTTGAGTAAAAGGAAAATTAAGTTTTACTCATAAGAGGGCTCTTGAAATTTCATATATTTGAACTAATAAGAAGTATGCCTTTATTTAATGAGTTGGTAAGTACATACTTGGAGTTATCTCCAGTAACGCAGTAGGTGAGGATGGTCATGATTTTCCAGTTACACCTGCAATCTGGTCCCTTTCTAACCTCGTCCTAGGAAACCTGTCTCTTTCTTGCATAAGACCTTCTGTTGAGTATTAAATTGCAAACTACTTGAAGATGGGGGCCATTTATTCCTATCTCTCTACCTGTTACAGTGTATAATAATATGACTGTACATGTATGAGCATTTAATAAATGTGAGTTAAAGTCCCTTAAACCCTGGAGAAATTACTCAATGTTGTAGTTTAAAAAAAAAAATTTCTTAGCCCAAATATAAATGTTTAGTTAAGATCGAAAAAATCTTACAGTTTGGTTAAAAACCACTGCGTTTAGGTTTTTGATCTTTAAATTCAAAGTGTGGTTTGTGGAATGCCTTGCTTTCTGTGATGAAATAAAAAGGTTTTCCTTTATGTTAGATTTAGCGTCCACATTTTCAAAATTGTATTTTATGGTTTCTCTTTGTTTTTGTTTAAAAATAAAGTGTTGGTGAGGGGGAGGCAAAAAGAAATGAAACAGCAAACAAACAAACAAAAGCCACTTTGATTAAGCATAGCTGGGAGTTTGGTGAAGCACGTTCCGAGCTGGTGCCGAGTGACGCTCACTAGAATTGCAGTAATTTTTGATGCCCTTGCCAATGTTTGTGTTATTTTTACTTTAAAGATGTAACAGATTGCTCCAAAATAAATAATTTAAGCCTAATATTTCAAAAGAGTCCAAGCGCTTGCGTCTTTCACTTCTGGCTGCTCTTCTGGGACTGAGCTGTGCCCAGCAGAACCATCCCTCACTTCTATACAACACTCCGTTTGGAGGGTTGCTTTCTGGCTTTGTTTTTCAAAGCTGAATCTATTTTTTTTTCACCACCCTATTCCAAATGTCACAGATTGCATCATTGTTCAGCACTGAAGGAATAATTCCTTTAGCTCAAGAAAGGAGAGAATAAACACAAGATCAACTAAATTGCTGATCTTGTGGGAGGAGGGTTTGGAAGGGGTGCAGAGAGAGCTCTGGGCTGAGAACATATCCAAAGTCTCACAGAAATCGCTGATTTCTATGCTGATTTGTGTTGAGACGTCAAGCCATGAACTGAGGCCCAAAGGCCTCACACAACATCCTCATTATAACTTAAAACAGCGCACATTTGCCTGGCTGGCTGTTCTGAGTGTGACCCCGGCCTCAGTCAATCAGCAGACATCTCACCAGATTGTTTTTATAGTACAATCCAGGAAAGAAGAAAGATCTATAATTTTAAAAGTCAACGGAAAATCCTGATGCTGTTCTAGACTTCCAAAATAAGTATGAGTTGCTTTTATAGACAGAAAAAAAGAAAAAAGAAAGAAACCCACACTAACCTGCCAGCTTTGTATTCTCATTAATGCAGGGCGCCACTGTGAAGTCCATCAGATGATTGGCAACTACATGTGGGATCCCAAAACCAATACGTCATTTGATATCGGTGTCAACAGAGATAGCCTGATGCCGCTCTGGTGGAATGGATCAGAGCCTCTGTGGGTCACTCTGACCAAGGCCAAAAGAAAGGTCTACATGTACTATTGGCCAGGTGAGTGTGCTGGGCCTCCAGCACCTTCCAGTCTTTCAAATAAAACACCATGCAGCCTTCAAGAGAAAGCAATGCTGAGCTCTCATTTAAAGGCCATGCCATTATTTCAAAAGTGAGATCCTTGGGGCTGGGGATTTAGCTCAGCGGCAAAAAGTGCCTGCCTGGCAAGCGCAAGGTCGTGAGTTCGGTTCCCGGTACCAGAGAAAAACCAAAAAAAAAAAAAAAAAAAAGTGAGATCCTTACTTAAGAAAAGTCTTCAATGTCTTACATTTTTGCTTTGAACTCCCTAACGTGCCAGACAATGCCATTCTCCGTTTCTCTTGACTTGATAATACTGCTGCAATATATCATTCTCTTTTCATGTGCAAAAGTTTAGATAAACAGCAGACATCAACTGCAGTATGTTTGCTGACTTACAAAGTAAGTTGGTGTACCAGTGCTGTAGATGTTTGAGCTCCCCTACAATACTGAAAAGAGAATTCAAAGACCTCATAACTTTTTGGTGGTGCATTAAATGAAGTCCCTTTTCATCAAGACTCCTCTTGTACATCCTAGATCAATGAGAAACTAGATTATTTTACTTACTGCAATGAGGGAACTAGTCATGCAAACTTCCTTGGTTACTGTGAGAAGTCCTTAGAATACTTCCATCCTGGTAGTTAATATATTTCATTAAGGATGAGAGATTCAATACTAACAAAATAATCAATTTACCATTGGTAGAATTCACTCATTCAGTAAGGGGTGAGCAATTTGATTTTTCCATGCACATGGCTGAAAGCACTTTTCTCCCAATTTTTAATGTTGTAAAACTGTTAATTGATGTTATGGACAAAGAAATATGGGGAGGCCTAGAATAAATGAAAAGAAAAGAAGTGAACAGCCACCTAGCAGGACGTGGGGAGAAGTCACGGAGGGTATCTCAATGGCTTTGGTGGGAGGGGCAGCAGCTGAGGGAATTGTGACAATGTGGTGGGCGGTGGGAAGGGGGCCTTCACGGTAGGGAGAATGGAGAATGGGATGAGTAAGCAAGGCTGAAGCACAGATGGCCCGCGTGGAGGCCGAGAGCGGCAGTAGGAGTCTGGAGGTGGCGTACGGAGGTGGCCACATGGACAGCTGCTCAGGGCACGCAAGGGTGTGTGAGCTCGCAGAGAAGCATAGAACTCAGACAGATGGAGACCAAAAAGCACTCGCATCCAGGCTGCGATGGGAGCCACAGAGCCGACACAGGACAGCGCTAGCCATGCCTAGGTAAGCTCAGGAAGGCCAGCACAGGGGGCAGTGTCAAAACACAGCAACAAACAGACTCAGACTTGCTTTGCCAGCAGAGGTGGTTTGAGGGAGGACACTAATTCTGAAGGCACTTGGAGTTCTGTCCACAGCAGTCACCTAGGACACTACTAATTCTGAAGGCACTTGGAGTTCTGTCCATAGCAGTCAGTTAGGCTGATATGAGACACTTCTGAGCAAGGGAAGGCTTTCAGAGGACTGTCTCATCTCAGATTGAGACTCAGTTTCTGACAAAGTTGAATGTTAGATTGAGGATGCAAATCAGAGCCTGGCCATTCTAATGAGACTTCACTGGAAGAGCCAAACTCATGACTGAGCCCACTGTGATGAGTCCTAAACTCTAAAGACTTTTCTGCACTTCAAGTTCATTCTCAGAAGCATTATTATTAACAAATACAAGGAGTCACATGCATAGGCATAGGAGTGGGAACAGACTGAGCACATTGCCTTAGCAACCAAAACCACTGTGAAGGACCATCAAGATGAATGTTGCCAGAATAGCACAGCAGTTACCTTCCATCATATCTGGTTAGTGTCGTTTGCTGTATCCTAACTTAAATTCTTCACACTTGGGAGGGTGCCTCCCCCACAAACACCCCCCAACTCTTCATGTGCCTCATCTGTATATAACCGGGTGTCCCTGTGATTCTCCACAGACATGGATACCAATGCTGTGGCAAAATGGGGGGAGTGGTCCTAAAGAAGGAAAGTTGCCACATTCTAAGCTTCTCTCTGCAGTATTACAGAGCATTACGCTTTCTCTCATTTTGGAGAAAATGAGTTTATATATCACTGAGAATCTAGTGAATCTCAAAGCTAATTTGCATGTAAAATATCTCATTGCTCCTCCAACACACCTCCTGAAGGGCAGGAAGAGGCCAATCACTTCCTTTGATTCACAGTTCAACAGCTAATGTGATGTGACAAAAACGCCTTAAGACTAGCTACAGTGTTAACAATCGGGAGGAGAGACGCGAAAATGATGGCTTCCTAGAATTTGCACAGTGACCTAAGTGAAGACTAGGGAAAGATCTGGCTGTGTGGAAGTCTTGATGGAAATTAGACGAAATGTTTCTTAGACACCGTCTAGTGCTTCAAATCTGGATACCCAAGTAGCAGCTCTTTGAGAGTAGTTGTTACTTCTTCCCACTCCTGCTAAAGACTGAGGGATTAACGGTTTAACTGCTGTCCTTTCTGTCTCCTCCTTGGGCACCTCCAGCCTCAGCTATAGCCCCAGGAGTGCTCATTTGTCTCTGCAACATTACATGAGTGCAATGGCATTTCTTCCAAACTTTACTTGATTTTATTTTTCTTCTTCAATACTACTCATCCTTCCCTATTCCCTGTGAGACATTGCGCAGACCTCTCAATGAGGCCTGGAAAATTTTCATTGCTCCGGTGAGCTGTGTTATGACACTTTGAGTCTCACCACTAAGTCAATATTTAGAAGTACAATTTAGAAATGACAGTAGTTCAAATCTTTTTGTCAGGTAGATAAACCCTCAGACTGAAAAATTGATCAGTGGTGAAGAGTCCAACCTACCTCACCTCAAGCCTTGCGATATTTAATGTTGTCAACAGACCCTTTAGATTCCCATCCAGTGGTATCATTGAGCAGTGCAGGAAGAGACCTGCTTTAAAAAATGATTCCCAGCCCCAAGTTAGCCAGGAGTACATGACTGAGACCCAATGTTGTTCTGCAAAGAATAAGAGATAAGTATGCATTGTTCACTAAAGCTATTCCTCTACCCCAGCTCTCTGGTTTGATGTCAAAGGAATTTTACTGAGGAACAAAAAGAAGAAGTTCCAATAGTTACTTCATATTGGAGAGCCACCAAAGCAGAGAAGGATTTCTTGAGGAAGGAGAATTGAGGGAATTGGTGTAGATGATAAAATATTGTATAGCAAGTGTTTAAACTTATTCGATCAGGAGTGCTATTTCTTGGACCAGGAGTGCTTACATAGTGGCAGTGGTTTCTTAAGTTTATTCTCACATTTTTTATAAAATGCCAAAAAAAGGAATAAAAATTAGTCACCTTTTAATATCCTGTGGCTAAAACTCTTTGGCATTCCAATTCTGTATCTTTCATTGTCCATTTTACAGCTGTAACTCCCTACAGCCAAGTAGGAAGTCTTGAGCACAAACCACTCCTATGCCCCTGGAACGCTGCTTGCTGGGTGTGGGTCTGGGTTTTTCTCCTGACCCTGTCCTGTCCAGTGCAAGAGTTAAGGCCAATAAGGTGCCTTCTGTGTAGAGGAATACACATCACCACTAGTTTTCCCTCTCTCCCTTTCCAGAACTGGACTGGGTAGGGAGTTAACAAGTAGGTGTCCAATTCAGCTGCCCTTGCCCTTGTTATAATCAGGGAGATTTTTTCTAGATAAATGGCACATACAGTCTATTGGTTAAAAATTATGGGTTATCTACAAATTCTTCCTCTTTCCAGCCATGGTGGGGGCTTGACACCCTTCCTTTAGGGTGTATACAGTTCAGACACAGGGATAATTAGGAGCCCATCATCTGCCACACAAATGTGTGAATCAACAATAAACCTAAATCATTGCCTCTGGACCCAGGGTATCAAATATCTGGATAAAAAGTAGACTATTTTTTAGGCAAATATTTAACAATGCTAATAAAAATTACCTGTATAGTCACTAAATTTCCCAATAAAAATAACCAATTTAGCACTAGACTTTAAGATTTATTTTAATGCTAGAGAATTTATTTATTTTATTTATTTAATTTTAATTTATTTATTTAATTTATTTAATTTTAATTTTATTTATTTATTTATTTAATTTTAGTGAATTTAGTAATTTTAGAGAAGTGGGCCCTTCCTTTGAGAAGGGACCCATTTGGGACTCTTCCTGTCTCTTAGGAACTATTCCTATTTCCCATTCCTTCTCTCCAATAAAGTTTCCTATTCTTAAAAAAAAGTTTTATGTAATTTTAGAACTAAAAGAGGACTTCATACATAATGTGCTGGCTCCAACACTTCTAAATGAAGAAACTCTTTAGGGAATGGATCAAAAGTAGAGATCTTGGGGCTGGAGGTGTAGCTCAGTGGTGGAGTGCTTGCGTAACATGCGTGAGGTGTTTGGTTCAATCTTTAGCACCTCAAAAAGCAAAAACCCTACAAGTCTCCTTTACAGAAAAATACACCCCCACACTACACTTACAGTTTGTGCTTATGTAATACAAGAGCATACAAGATTAGGATTAATTTTTGATGTAGTGACACGTATATACTTCTGATACCTGATTTATTTTAGTTTATATCATGTAAACATGTTAACAACTCATCAAAGTATCAAATGAAATTTAAGTTCCTTTAGTTCATATTTTTTGGCACAAGTAGGCCTGGGTCAAAATTCTGTGAGACTCTGGGTTGACATCACATTACATCATTTTCTTTGGCAGTAACTTTGGCGAGCTCTGCACCACTAATGTTTTTCTGTGTCTGCAGGAAAAGATTACAAATACACATTTCGAGTGTGAGATTGTCTCAGAGAAACTGATCTTCAGAATCATCCCACAGAATTTCTAGGCAGCAACCACTTTTGTTGCAGAGAAATTGAGAGGTGTCGCCTCTCTAGACTGCTGTCTGCAGGAGGAATTCGTCCAGCTTTGAAAGTTTAGATAACAGTCCAGCTACACCCATTCTACTTTTGCAAGATGGTGTCTTGGGCAAAAGAGCTCTGAGTTC